AAACCTATGCAGCGTGTAAAATAAAAACACCGGTATAATAAAAAAGTGAATGTTTACATTCGAGCCGGTTGCATTCTGGGTAGCGAGAGCCTTGGAGATTCCGAACGCGGCCCACTTGTCCTGCTGGTCCTGAACAAGGTGTATGGACGAGCAAGACGTGGAGTTCCGAACGCAGCATTAGGCTACATATACTCGTATATATGTGTGTATGCGTGCACACGTATATATGAACTGTATATGTACATCGATTCAAGCGGGTCTCTTAACCACATGGACGTAAAACACATGTTCGTATAGGAACTTGCATCCTAAATCACGAGATAATGCGGAAGGGAGGCAGGTACTTTCTGACGCAACTTTAACCTAGCATGCTGACGTTAGGACTCAGTTACAGATCTCTCTCCCTCTCTCTCAATACACATGTGTATATGTGTGTAGGTAATTATATGTGTGTATGAATAAATATATGCGTGCGTTTGTATACAAAGACAAACGCGCACACACACATATATATGCATATATAAACACAAACGCCCATACACACATACACAAGTACACACATGCAAATAAACACATAAAACACACACACACACACACACACACTAATACATGTGTGTATGCGTGTGTGCCCACAAGGTGTATGAATTCACATTTTCCATGTATGTAGCTACTCAAGGTAATACTTTCATTCCCTGACGGAAAGCTCGAGGTCCGCCCACAACCCTACAGCTCCACCCACTATGGACCGTCTATATAAAGAGCCGCCGCCTTTCGGAACAACAACACTGCTGCACAGCCACCACAATGCAACGTCTCCTTGTTGTGAGCGATTTAGCTTCTCTTGTTCGAACAAATCTATGGTCATAGCTGGAAAAATAGTGTATTGTGACGAAACGAAAAGAACCAGAAAAAAACACTTTGTCCATAAGGAAAGAATTCCTGAAATTGCCTTTGTATGTGTGATTCTAACGCTTGAATCCCCACACAGCTCGCCTGCCTGGTGGCCGTGGTCGTCGCCGACAGCTACAAGACGCCCATCCCGATCCTCAAGGACGACCGCACACAGAACGCCTACGGCGAGTACACCTTCGACTTCGAGACTGGAAACGGCATCGCCAGGAACGAGGCCGGAAAACAGGCTGATGGCCAGGAGTCCTCGGGAGGATGGAGGTGAGTCCCTTACGCTTCGCAAACACACATCAACCATATCCCTTCAGAACCTTGATCTCACAACCATGTGTGCGCCAAAGCTGTGTGGCATATCTCTAAACGCCTCTGTCCCTTCTCCAGCTACACCGCTCCCGAAGGCGTGCCCATCAAGCTCAGCTTCACCTCCGGTGTGGGCGGCTACCAGCCCGTGGGCGACCACCTCCCCGTGGCACCCACGCCAGTGCCTCTTCCCTACGAACGTCAGGACTACTAAATCTATCGTGCTTTCTCTTCCATTTCGTCTTTTATATTCTGCTAAATTCACACTAGTGATGTGGTAGATTCAAAGAATAATTCTCATCACCATATTTGTCCTACTAGTCTTGTATTTATTTCTTCGCTATTTATGGAACGAAACTCGTTCATGTATGCTTACCTCCAATAAAGCTTCGACCATGCAACTGCCATTTCCTCGCCATGAACCCAATGCTCACACCATTAAGAAGGCTCGCCAAAAAGGGTTTAATGCTACCGTTTTAAGTCGACAATGGAGACCTGAATTTAGCGCCAGGGCGTCCGATGGTCGCTCACTCCAGACTTCTCTTTGCAAAGGCCATCATCAGCTCCTTGCCTTCGGAATTCCATTTTTCCAACATTTCAGATGAATGCATGTAGTAGCCTTTGAAAATGGTTGACATGCAATGTCGTTCACAGACGCACACACATATGTTTTTATATATGTATATATATATGTGTATAGATATATGTATATATATATCACATGTATGTATGTATATATATATACATGTATATATATATATATATATATATATATATATATATATATATATATATATATATATTGAGATCGATATTGATTCGACATTTAAATGATACATTGTTTATAATTGTAAAGTTATACAGACCCACCCAAACATTCCATTGCATATTTTTATCTTTCGAAGGCATAGCAAGAGTGTAAATCATAATGATTATCTACGAATAGTTGGTTTGTTTCAATGTTAATAGTTCAGTTGGGGGCAAAGTAATAAGTAGTTCTGTCCTGGCAGTTTTTCATCAGACAAGTCTTGACTTTCACCCCAAACACAGATATGTTAAGTGCTGCTATCAAAAATCGTTTTTCGCCTAGATTCCAAAGTTCACAATGCCTAATATAATGCTTAACAATTGTGAATCCATATATTATGCTTTGTGATAAGTCAAACAAGTTTTGACTTTCATCCCAAATACAGAGGATAAAAGGCTGGGGAAAGTCCAGCAATGCCACACGCATTGTTGTTAGGAAATATTTATGATTTGGGGGGACCGTGGATACACCAACGGAATTAGTCCATGAAGACAATACCCATTTGGCCAAATAATGAATTGCAAAAGGAACAACAGACCAGAATAAAGTGTAAGAAAGGAACATTATGAAAGGAAGATGGGAAGGATCGATTGCTTAATCTTAAAGGAAATAATGAAAAGATACTAGGGGAACGGGGGTTGACAGTTTCACTCTAGCCTCACGTTTGATTAGTGATTTTCAATTAGTAGGCAGAGTAGGGAGGGTGTAATTAAAGGTAACCCTAGAAGTGAATTTAGTTAACAAGAATATCCCGTTTTCTTTAGAATGCTTATTGTTGATTTACATTGTGATATACCACATGTTTATTATCATTAATTTATAGAATAAAAAGCAATTGCCCAAAAATGCTGCTATGACCAGTGTCTTTGGAATGCACTCCATAAAGGAATGAATTCAATCCACCCCATGAACCTTAAGACCATTAAGTCATGCTACTCAAATTAAAATTAGGAATGTCAAAATTGCATTTTCTCGAGGTTCCCTAAACCTCTAAAACCTCTGGCGCTGGTCGCTCTACCGAGAATGTATTTTTAGAATAAAGTTAATAAAGTTTCAAGAGCATGTCATGGGATAGAAACTTTGAAAGTATTATGTACTACTCTATTTTGAGAATTTCCCCAACAAGATCAGCAACAGTGAATTTAGTAGAATATATTTTAATAGAGTGTATATGAAAAATTTCGAAACAGCACAGGCTGCATTGGTGACATTTTAATTCTTTCATTGGATAAATCAGGGTTTTAAAAGATTGAATTCTTATATTTTGCCTCCCTAGTCTGTATGGATATATAGATATGAGTGTATGTTTCTGTATGTGTGTGTGCATATATATGTGTACAACACACACACACACACACACACACACACACACACAACACACACACATATATATATATATATATATATATATATATATATATATATATATATATATATATATATACATACACACACATATATGTCTGTGTGTGTACATATACATATATATATATATATATATATATATATATATATATATATATATATATATAGTAGATATATACATACATATATATATATACATATGTATACACATATAAGTATATATGTATATAAATACATATATATATATGTATACGTATGTATGTATATGTTTATGTATACGTGCATGTATATATGTGTGTGCATATATATATGTATATATGTATATCTATGAATATACATATATATGTATGTGTGTGTATATATGTATATGTATATATATGTGTGTTTGTGTGTGTGTGCATAAGTATATATGTATCTGTGTGCATGCACGCTGGATGAATAGACAGCATACCTGTGTATATGTGTACATATCTATATCTGTATCAACCTGTCTTTCTCTGAGTATATCAAGTCATACCCATATATGGACATATGCATAAGTATATACATGCACAGACTCACCTACGTAAGCCCACACACACTTATAAAGCATGCAAACATATGAAATATACATATATATATATATATATGTGTATGTGTTCATATGTATAGACATAGATTTTGAACTTGCTCGGGACACTCACTTTCTAAGTTCATTTACTGCTGACTCCCACAAACTCCGCCCACGAGATAGCTCCGCCCTCTGTGGACCATCCGCTATATAAACAGCTGTGTCTTTCGGAACAACACTCTGCTGCACAGCCATCACGATGCAACGTCTTCTTGTTGTGAGCGATTTAGCTTCTTTTGTTCGAACAAATTCATGGTCATAGCTGGAAAAATAGTGTATTGTGACGAAACAAAAAGAACTTCAGAAAAACACTTTGTTCGTAAGGAAGGAATTCATGAAAATGTCTTTGTATTTGTGATTCTCATGCTTGAATCCCCACACAGCTCGCCTGCCTGGTGGCCGTGGTCGTCGCCGACAGCTACAAGACGCCCATCCCGATCCTCAAGGACGACCGCACACACACAGAACGCCTACGGCGAGTACACCTTCGACTTCGAGACTGGAAACGGCATCGCCAGGAACGAGGCCGGAAAACAGGCTGATGGCCAGGAGTCCTCGGGAGGATGGAGGTGAGTCCCTTACGCTTCGCAAACACACATCAACCATATCCCTTCAGAACCTTTATCTCACAACCATGTGTGCGCCAAAGCTGTGTGCATATCTCTAAACGCCTCTGTCCCTTCTCCAGCTACACCGCTCCCGAAGGCGTGCCCATCAAGCTCAGCTTCACCTCCGGTGTGGGCGGCTACCAGCCCGTGGGCGACCACCTCCCCGTGGCACCCACGCCAGTGCCTCTTCCCTACGAACGTCAGGACTACTAAATCTATCGTGCTTTCTCTTCCATTTCAACTTTTATATTCTGCTAAATTCACACTAGTGATGTGGTAGATTCAAAGAATAATTCTCATCACCATATTTGTCCTACTAGTCTTGTATTTATTTCTTCGCTATTTATGGAACGAAACTCGTTCATGTATGCTTACCTCCAATAAAGCTTCGACCATGCAA